CATAAGCAAGGAGGTGGGGTATATGATTACACGTGTGAAAAGATTTGCAAATTTGCAATGGGGGGTGGGAGAGGAGGGAGGATTGTGGATATTGGGTGCTGCCTGGGACTTCTGGGATGGATTGATGGAGCTTACACTGCAGGCAATAGATGATCACTTGAAAAGGTCTCCCATCAAAGAAAGGATTATAGAATTTGAACTGAATCATTATTTGAGACTAGAAACTATATTGTATGTCACCACTGACCACATTTATTCAATTATACGCAATATAATGAAATGTGAGAATCAGAAAGCTTTTCCAAGTGGTGGTTTGCTCTTTTTGTGTAACCCAAGTTTGTGTCGTTTTTTTTTTGTAAAAAAGTTTAAGATAAAAAAAGCTCCTTCAAGCCAGTAGATGGCCAGCTGCTGGAGATGGCTTTGGCCCCTTAAGATCTTTACTGAAAAGGAAGTTCAGGGAAGTGGAACAGAGAGTTGGAGGAAACACGTCAACCAAGTGTTTGGGCTAAAATGCTTTGCTCAACTATGTATGTTTCTTTAAACTGGACTCATTGAAAGAAAATTTTTAAAAAGTTGGAGTTGAATACCACCACTTTAATCACTCTACTGTGTACTTTCTAAAAAACAAATATAGTGGGTGCAACACAATAGCGAGCTATGAACAAGACTGACACCAACACCTCTAGTGTGTGTATAAAGCAAGGGATGTTGTAAATATAGGTAACCTATAATGATTTCACATTATATAAGTGGCACACTGACATGTAAATATTCTTCCACAGATACAAAAATCAAAACAGACTCTGCACCCTTTAAATCAGCTTTATTCTTCTAAATTTGTGTTATTCAATATTTCATAGCACCTTGGCAATGTCCAGAATAGAATACAAATACATGTATACATTTAAAGCATGAACCCTACTTCACAATTTTAAATTAAAATAAGCTGGAACAAAAAAAAAAAAATGCATGTTCAATTTGACTAAAAAGCCCCATATATAATTGACAAGATGCCAAGGCAAGTTAGAATTACCAAGTAAACGGATGATGTTACAATTTCTTTCAGTTCGGCCTAAATGTTTTCCAAAAATGAATTTTGAGTATAGTTCAGATTATAAACATGAGCAGCTTTATAAGTGCCAGAAAGTCTATTTTATTTTAAGTTTCTAAGGTAAACAAAGTTCAAGATCATGTTCCAGATAGAGGATTCAAATAGTCATGTATTCCTTGATCATCCACATTTAAATTATACAAAGCTGACAATTCCATGGTACCATAGTATAGGAAGCCCTGACAACACAATATACAAAACATAAGAGCCTGATTAATGAGATCACACACTGTTATTAAACAGAATAAAACTAAAAATGGAAGATTTAGGGCAGGGAAAAAAGGAAAAAAAAAAAAACTAATCGCAAATAAAATACATAAAAACAAAAGCAGTCACCTAGTGCATATGCAACAAATTATGCACTGTACAACATCACTGGGGGTAAAACTAACCTTAAAATGCTGCAAGTGTGAGATTTTTATGTTATAGCAGATCATAATCCAGCAGTAAATATGAGCAACAGCTTAATGTTAGGTAACAAACAGGAATGTTACACCACACCGTTTTAGATGCAGATTATACTTCTATGCTTAGAACTTTGCAATGTATTGTAAAACGTATTAATAGTGGTAGAAATATTAAAGAATAAAAGATGTAGCAAGTTAATGAAAAAAAATGCAAGAACACAAACACCCTGAAGGAGAAAAGAAAAAAGCTCTCATGAAACATGCGAATCAAGGGATCTATTAAATAGATTATGATTGCTATGAACAAAGCAGTAATTGTAGGCAGGTATTGCAGATATTGATTAAAAAGGGCTGCTTTGTTGGCGTTACAAGATTGCCTGTAACAGAACTGACAACAGTATATTCTGATATCTGAAATTTGCCTGAGAATATACATATATATGTGGAGAATATGACAGGTTGCAGCCAGCCAAAAAAGGCTGTGTGCTTGTCATGCAACATACTGCATTTGTAGTTCATACACAAATCCAAATATTTCACAGCCTTAGTAATAACTTTAATAGTCCTAATAGTCCCAATCCACACGCAGGGGAGGAAAAATAAATCTAGAAGGGCACCAAAACATCTTGCACAAGAAATTTAAATAAATACTTTTTTTTTTTGCTATGGAAAGATCCTAATGTAGCGCTTATACTGAAAAAGCCAAACGCTTCACACATTTTCTCATTATTTCTGTACATGAACTAGAAGTCCGAAGAAAAAAAAAATGCTAAACACACAAAAGCATCCTCTCAAATTCACATATTAATCAACTTACATGATAGGATTTCTGCAAGTCACAAATCAATGATAATTTATTTTACATCTAGAAGAAAAAAAAAAAAGTACAAGAAAAACTCAAGTCCTATTTCAAAACAATATGGTTAAATGCACTGCATCAATATGTTCAGATTTCCACTAGAACAAGATACAGAGACCAAGATATGTTAGATGAAAACTGTACCAAGATCTTCACAGAGTAGGCCCTGCAAGTCTTCACAGAGAAAGAAGAGTGAAAACTAGTATACTTAAGTAGACATGCATTTGCCATGACAAACTTAAATGGCCAGTAAACCTACGCTGAGTAAACTAGATTACAATAAAAAGCTACTCAGTAAACTATACATGTAAGGAGAAGGATTTACTTCTTTACAATTATTTGTTGATATAAGAAGGTCTTAGGATACAGCTTAGATCTTGAAGGGGGGTATTCTACACCTTTAATTGCATCGGTGCCCCCACTGAAGGTCAGTGCCTAGATCCACTAAGTGCTTTGCTAAACCGGTGTTTTCCCAGTTCCAATACTGCAACCTCAACGGCCACCACTTCTAACCTACAACGTATCACAGAATCTGTAAGTGACATTTACTCACTTACAATATATAGGTCTTTGGAACACACAGAAGCTGCATATAGTTTAATGCCATTGACAGTCACAATTGGTGCAAAGCTCTCAGAAGGTATTCAGTTGTGCAATATCAAGAAACTGCCAGTGTAGCAAAGTCCTTGAGGCACTCGCACATTATGTGTGTTCACCATGAAGTGTTAGCCCTGATTATATATATATATATATATAGACTGATTTTTGGTAGCTCTATTGCACTACTAAAATCTCCTGTTAAATCGAGACTTAGTTGGGGAGGGGGGGAGAATCCGCTTATGATTCCTATGATGCAAGCTTCCCAGTAGCATGCAACTGATCAATCGCTAATTATTGCACAATATTAAAATTGTGTATGCCTCATCTGTTGTATGCTACTGTTCTGCTGTAAAGAGTCACTTCTTCATCAGTCTACTTTCCTTTTGCGATCAAAAGCTGTTTCAGAATACAGCTACTAAACCCATGCCGCAAAGTCAGTAAATAAGAAGTGGCTGCAGGTTCTGGTGCATATATTATGTAGTATACATGACAAGAGGGCGGTCAGAAAGACATCTGCAGTCTGACAAATCTGCTGCATGAGAAATGAAAGATTGCGGTATATACATGCGGAGCCTAAAATGGCTACAAATTTAACGCAACTGTCAGTTGCTTAAAAATCCCATGCAAAAGTTCCCTGCAATATAAGTGGTAGTATACACTTTTCTCTGTTACAGTAATGCAGTCTTCAGACTCTTCAGCACTCAACACTCCTAAGTGTGTCCGATGTTACTTCAACCATATAGATGTCAGAGGATGGAACCACATGACAAAAGGTTGCAGTACTGGAATAGAGCAAAAAAAAGGTAGGAGGCACAGGCCTCTAGATAGGCAAGT